GATATTTTTTAAAAACTCGATATATCGCCCAGCCCTAGTTCTGTGTTATTTGTGATGTGTAGTCAGTGTCCAGAGAAGAAAGAAAGACAGTAAGAACAGGAATCACTTAAAAAAATTATGAGATAGACTGGCTTCTTGGAATGAAAACATAAAGAAATTGGGGGTGGCATAAAACTTTTACAATACTGTATTCTAACCATCAAAATGTTCCTGCTGATGACAATCTTGTGTCTAAAGAAAAAAGGTCAATGGATATTTTTTACGTTGATCTTAAAGTTGTTTAGCAGAGTTCTGTTCATTACATATTGGTTTTGTGTGCTGAAAGCTGTCAAAGACCGTTTTTGTAGTAAATTGCAAAAGTGTGAATACAACAGTAACCTACAGTTACTACCTACTGTACCTACAGTCTTGTGAAATTGTGTTAGGATAGAGCCATGAAAGGGCATGAAGGTGAAAGAAACTCTTAAAACTTTATTGGTTACAGATGGGAGTTATTACACTACAAAATCGTGACAAACTGTCTATGAAAGATCAGTGGCATCAATGGTTTGTGAAGTCACCCTGCTCAGGCTGAAGTAGAGTGTTTTGGCTGTTGCTATCTAAGCCTTTGGAAAAGGTCCAGAGCACAGGTCAGCATTTTCAGAAATAACTATGCTTTTGTTCACTAACTTGAAACTACAGACTGAGGCTATAAACCAATCAGAAAATTGTTTACTGAGGTCATATAGCAAGGAAGTTCACAGTCATTTACGTTTGTCCTTCAGTTCAACTAAGTCTTTTTGCAACAAGAGGAGTCGCCCCCTGCTGACCTTTAGAAAGAATGCGGGTTTGAGGCGCTTCCACTTTGGCTTCAGTTTTCAGTAATGAAAGTTCTGTTAATTTTAAAAAATTACATAAAGTTAATGCATGAAAAGAGCAACAGCAACGACAATGCTTTCCTTCCCACAGGTGAATAAATGACGTCATAAAGAGGTAAAGACAGGCACAAACTGCACTAATGGTCCCGTTGTGCTTTATTTACTAGAAAGTCTAAATAGCTGCTCATCTGAGATATTTGCACTAGAGTCCTATAGCCACACTGTTGCATAAACTATTGCCTATTTAGTCTGTATTTTATGTACATGGCTTTCAGTGGGCACATGCATCACTCTGGGGGGAGTTTTTATGCAGGATTTGCAACAATTAGTCTGGTTGCTTTGATGGTGAGTCCACGGGAAGCTCTGGCATACATTTTGTTGCTAGATCTATTAAGCTAGATCCATTAGCCTGATACTAATGGATCTAGCTTAATAGATCCATTAGTATCAGTATAAAATGTCACTCAGATGTGATGCATACAAAGAAGCAAGAATTTGCATAGAGTCACACAAACACTGAAGTCGATGATTTGGTTTTAATAAGCTGGCAGAAGGCATCTATGAATATAAAATGTATGCATTCCTAGTCTTGTCACATGGTGTCTTTGTTGAAAGCTATGCTGCACTTTACGTTGCTACATCATTCTGCAGAAAGATGATGTTGCAGGGGTGGATGGGGGAATAAATGAGAGAAAGAAAGAAAGAAAGAAAGAAAGAAAGAAAAGGGGGGTTGGTAGACCTACACTCTGGTGATGAACAGTGTGTACAGAATGCAAATGTGTTATATTAATGAATTAATAATAGCTAAAGAAATAATACATGTTGGAAATAAGATGCAACTGTTAATAAGACAACAAACAGATAAACAAACAGATATTGTCATGTCTGTTGAATATAATGGATTTTATAGTTTGAAAATTGGTTTTCAGATTTGACTCACAATAGGACAATAGGAAGGATTTTAAGTTAAACCTGAATGTTAGCTTATTAGAACCAAATAAAACAAATTTTATAATCATATGAAGGCACAGCAAGTCAATTTTCCATTAGATGGTGACACAATCAAAATCAGTTGGGGATTACGTGCAAAAACCATTAGTAGTATTTCAAAAATGAATGGTAATGTTGTTTTTTGTTGCACCAAACATCTGTGCATACCCTCTTGATTTGATGGAAAAAGGAAAAGTGGTGGAATGAAGGGGACGGGAGAGGAGCATGCAGTTTTTATGAGGCGTTCACATCGTTGATGCTTTTCTTCTGTTCTGCTTCTGACAAAACATGAGAGAAACACACAGGTCTAATACTTATCACACGGCATACTGTTTCCATGCCACCTTAAAATCGACTTTTGGCCAAGCTGTGCAAAGACTCATCGTAAAAGCATGATGCTGCATATTAGAAACCCGTTTCTGTTTCACAAGCTCCCATTATTCTCACTTCTGTTCTTCTTCTCTGTCTGTTTCCAGGAGGGAGGTGCCATAGAAAAGCTATTGGCAGAGAGAGGGAAGAAAGACGTGAGAAAAAAATTATTTGAAGGCATTCAGCAGCTTTAGCGCCCTCATCTTTTGTACCTCACTTATGCAAAAACAGCTATTCTGAAAAAGAAAAACCTTTAACAGAGAAGAAAACTGGAGAAAGATGCAGAGCAGCAGGAAGAGGAGGGCATCTGACAGATAAAACGAGGGAGCTCTGCAGCAGGATCCCTACAGTGCTGTACACAGAACTGCGTGACTGGTCTCTGCAAGCAGAGGGAGGAGAGAGGAGAGAAGGGAGGAAGGTAGGAGAGAAAGAAAGGGGGAGGGGAGGCAATTCAGTGCAGTGCTAGCAGACTGGATGAGTAGCAGCCATGGCATAAGAAGCAACATCAGCACCACTAGCTGTAGCATCTTTCTTTGTGGCTGCTGGAGGCTGTGTTGTGGCTGCTCTACCATTAACAGCCACAAGACATACACACACACACACACACACACACAAATATTTGGACACAGACGCTCCTCGTGCTTGCCTCATACACACACATGTCGTGGTGGCCACCAGAGAAGAGGTAGTAAGTGACGGGGCTCGGGGGACAGAGGGACACAGGAAGAGGAAACCGGGACGACTGGTGGTAGTGCAAACAGGAGGAGGGCTGGAGCGACCGTGACTGGAGCAGCAGCAACAGTAGCAGCGGCACCATGGCGCAAGCCGCCAAGCAGCTCCGCAAGACCAAGGACCTTGCGGAGGCCGCCGCCCAGGAGCAGAGGGAGAAGGAGGAGGAAAAGATAAAAAAGAGGAATCGATCCAGGGACCGCAGGCGCAAGGTATGGCTGATTATCTCAAGAGACAGGGGAAATGGCAGTTATTCTTACATCCACCTGCCTTTCTCTATCTCCAGCGGTCTTTCTCTCTCACTGTGCTTGATTGGTTAGGGTGCAATTACACATGTATAATTACACAGTTGGTCTTATGGCCTCAGCTGGTACGTGTGCCTGTGTGTGTGCCTGTGTGTGTGTGTATGTGTGTGCGTGTGTGTGAGTGTAGGCTAGCCAGTCAAGCACATATGCTCTGGTACAGGTTGTGTCAGCTCTGTCAGATATTTAACCATGGGGAAAGAAAATTAGGCTTACGATGACTGTTATGCCACTATAGGTGTGAATAATATGCGCTGCCGGTCAAATAACACGAGCTGTCTTTTTGTTTTTCTTTCACGACATGCGTTTTAGGGGATTTCAGCCTTACAGTGTGTGCACTATATGTATTTGAAGGAAATGCAAGTTAGAGGTACTGCCCAAGCTTATATTTTAATGCAGATTTTTGTCACCACTTACATGGTTTGCATACTCTACTCGCTCCTTTAGATTTGGTGTCTTCCCCCATATTACAGTTTTTTTGTTTTGTTTTTTCATTGGAGGAAATGTAAAATGGAGGGGGAAAATGGAGGTACACTCTAATAATAGATGCAATTTTAATGCATCTGTGTATCTTTTGGGGCATGTTTGTGCTCCGTGTAATGTTCAAAGGAGAGATTGATGGGGATGATTTATATTTTTGGTTTAGAAAATTGAATATTTTTCATGTGACAAAGTGTGCACACAGAATATCATCCTTTAGGCACAAGAGCACTCATTCACCCCCTTTCACTTCTCTCCTGGACTCTTCCGCTCTCGCTGTGCCACTGGGTGCAGATTTTATTGGGGTTGTGCCTCCTTGCACTCATGCTTGGCAGCGGTGAAATGATTTATGGAAACACATATTACATTTTAGAGGTGTTTATTGAATAATTAATTTTTTTTTATCCATTTCTACATCTGATAACATTATTCCATGATCATAGCCTTTGTATTTAATATTATGCAGTATGCAAGTTTTCTCTCCCTTTTTCAATATTTCTGTAATGTAAAGTTCCTGAAAAATGTAAAGGTCTTTGCGTATTCACTGCACAAGAGCTGTGTGTTGTGTGTGTGTGTATGTGAGAGACAGAGTGTGAAGCAGGGAAAATAGATTTGGCAGACAGACAGAAACACAATATTAAATAATACAATTATTTAATATTATTTTAAGTATGAAACTGATTCTTCTGAATGGAAGTATGTGTAGTTTCTGAAGCTGTACAAAATATTTTAATTGTGTGATCAGCTTATTTTGCTGGTTTAGTTTTTCTTAATGGTATTGGATGAATATTGGAATGGGTAAATGGCATAAACATGGTGATGTGTTGAGGTGTCAATTTATGTGATATAGTGACAACCTATATAAATGTACTTACATAGGATAAACATATGGATTGTTCTGCAAAATGACACCCCAGCTTGGTGTTTTACCTCAGGCCTCTCCTTCAGGGAATACAAGTTAACGTCATAATACTTTGTTCGGTTTCACACATTTCCCCTTGTGGGACAATTAAAGGATTATTCTATTCTACATATAGTAATACACATACAGTATAGGACATACATATACACACCCTACAGAACAGCCACCAAACTGGGCCTGGTCCACCGGCACCCTAGTTCATAGAAGACCCAGCAGGAAGGACATAATGAGCCACCAGAGTGTGTGGCGATGATCAGCTAGCCAAAGCATATATCATTTACAGACACCCCTTTAAATAGTACCCACGAGGTTCTCATTCCCCTGATGAAATGTGTTCTTACACTCTGAGGCAAAGAGAGAGCTTTGTTGCTGTAAGCTAGAAACATAGCCTCCACTAGCCTGTGGGAGACCCTCTGTTCAGACAGAGAGCTTTACCTTTGGTGGGATTAGCAAGGCACACAAACAACTGGTCACATAAACACACATTCTGAGTGCGGTGAATTTAGGTACATAGTACACGCTCCAGATACAGGGAATGCAGCTCCTCAGATGCAAAAGGAGGGGAAAGCAAAAACTCAGAAGTAACTGTAACCATGAATTGTAGTAATAATCTGAAGGAATAAAAATCCCTCATTTGAGCATACTGACCATGAAGCCAACACAAGAGAACTGTCTGCAAAAGGATTCACAATGTATGAAGGTCACTCACTCATTTTGTAGAAACTAACCTGAGAAACAATAGTCTTATATGAAAGAAGCTTCATAGGTGATGCTGGTGATGCCTAACTACAGATCTCAGGTGGTGGACCCCTTTCAAAAGAATTCGTGGCCAGAGGATTTACACCTGGCATCAACCTGTCAAAGTCAATATGACTGACCAAATATACTTTAATTATTAAAGAAGAAAGAAGATATAACAGCTCCCAAGGAATGTCAAAAAGATCTGCAATAGAGGACTGGAATAGGAGAACATGTCGGTTCTGGTAACATTGCTAGAAGGTTTACTATTTATGACCATGCAGTTTTCTGCTGCATGAAGCCCTAGGACTTTAGACAATCACACTGTGTTTGGACCAGACTGCGTATGGAAAGTGCTGCACCTGCTTGGACTGACAACCTGAACAGAACTTAGGTGGTGCGTCTTGGTTGGTAACAGATGAGAGATATGTCCCAGCTCCACAGCTAGAAGGACTGAGGCTTCCTACTCCTAGGAATCTCATTTCTTTGCTCTTTGCTCCAGACCAGTTGGTGCGGAACTCAACTTTGAGACTGGGCTCTCACCTGCCATGCTCTCTTGGGGATAGATAACAGAATGGCAACAAGTGATGGCACACAAAAACCCTCAGCAGACACCGATTGATCCAAGTGAATGGTCCTTTTTCTATCCAGGACATGAGAGAGGTTCAGCCAGATGCTGCTGTTGTCCTACTCTTAAGGCCCTCAAAGGGCATAAGGGTACTGCTGTACAGCAGGGCCCACAGAGAATGCAATGGATGGTTCCTCTGATGTCATTAAGGAGAGGTGCCAGGGGGCTGTCAAAGTGAACCAGTGACTTGAACTCCAGCAGGTGCATTGCAAGGTGACAAAGTGTGAGCCCGATAAATCTGATATCCATAAAGCTGAGATACAGCGAATCTGCTGTACTTAGAAGAATTAAGAAGCCTATTACACCATGGTTGTGAGATGGGGCCAGATGAGCAGCCAAGTGTGGTTCCTGGAAAGGTTTAGACAGTGGATTAACTAAGCCAGCTTTCTCTGCATTGCCCAGCTCCAGAAATGGTCCATAGCTGTTCACAGTAATGCAGGTAGACAGTGGTTAGCTTCATTAAGCTGTTAGCTCACAGACAAAATCAGGGAATATGGGCAGGTGTTTTTTTTCTGAGCCAGTACAGGATCCTAGCTTCTTGCCTGTATGGTGAAACAGCTCAAGCTGTAGCTAGCCAGTGACTTCACAACCTCATAAAACGAGCATCAACATACTCCAGGTGGTAAGCCCAACTAGTCTTGGGTTCATTGAATGGACACTCCTTACTAGAAGAAGGTCATGCTGTTCAACATCAGTCTTTTCTGGTCCTTTTCCACAAACATCACTTGTTTTTCTAGTCTTGAATGCTGGCCAGAAAACACAGGTTTCTGGCTTAGTCAGTGCTCTCCTAGCATGGACAGTCCCCAAGCAGATCGGACATGCTTCGTGCTGGTCTTCATCATGCAAAGAGAAACCACTTCCGTAAGGACATGGGCGAATAGAAGATTTCTTCTTCACTTGCTTTGGTTTGGTACTCATATCTAAATGCAAGTAAAAAAATGCTTGGAAACATGGAAATTAGTCCACATGTGGACTACACTACTAGTAATCGTAAACTCTTTTCGAGTCGGCAGGCAAAAGAGCTAACTAGCAGTAGCTAGCTAGCCCGACTCAATAGAGGTGTTCTTACTGATGTGAGGAGTGTAAGAACCGGGGAATGATTGTGATGTGTGATGTTGACAACCCCACTCTGTAGCTTTATGTGGTCTGCCATTTAAACACCCTAAACACTTCCACTTTGTGAATATACTGTTCACATTTAATCACTGAATATCTAGGAGGGAATAAATCTCATAAATCAACTTGTTGCATTGGTGGCATCCTATTATAGTTCCACACTCAAATTTAGTGAGCTCTTTTAAAAATATTTGTAAAGATAGAATGCACAGCTAAGAGCTTCATTGTCACAATGTAGCAATGGGACAGAAAAAACCTGAATTAATAGGTGTGGCCCAGTGCTTTTGTGTATATACTGCAGAATAAGCCTAATTCAAAGACTTTTAGTTGTCATTTATATATTGTTTTTAATAAAACACATCAGACAAACCCTTCCAGGTTTGTGCAATGTCCTCCTTATTAATGCTATAATATATTCATAATTATCGTCAAATATAAGACAACTTCTGCTAGTTCATACATTGTGAGTGAAAACCTAATATGGAAATCAGAGTGTGCAAAGGATTGTGTAGTATAGTGGAGATGTGCCAAAAGTGAACCCTGGTCCTTTACAATACTACTCTTATGAATACTTTTCTACAGGAGTTGTATAAAAACAGTGCTTCAATTTGTTTAAAACTAAAAATGAAAGATGTTGAAAAGGATTTAGAATCATTATTTGCATTTAATTATTTGTAGAGAACATAAAATGGTTGAATTGACTGTTCTTTTAGACTATGTACAACATAAGTGTTACTGTAGTCTGCTGGATTTCATAGGCCGTTTGGCCTTTCCCTCTCACCTTTACCTCAACAATCACCCATGCCACATCAATATATGTCACTATCTGTATCTGTCTTATTTCCTCTTTTGCTATAATCTCTGAAGACATGAAGGAAGGAAGATCAGGCACAGGCAGGCCTTAATGTTCTTGGGATTTTAATTGGCCTCATTCGATGTAAATCAAACTCGGCAGGATGGCATCTCTCATCCCTATTCCTCCCCTCGCACAAAGGTTATCCACTACAGTGCCAACAGAGATCCTAT